AAGTTTTCCATCGATGTAGGGAGACGATCACTCATCACTACTACAGCTGGATTGATTTATCTTTATGGCCTTTAATGATACTTCTAGCTGAACATTTTCTATAGCAGGTTTTGAATATGAAAATTAAAAATTTATCTTGATGTGAAGCCTTATTTGCGGAGTGGTAATGTTTGTCTATTTAAAGTGACATAACATGACATGTTCTTATGTTCTTAACAATGGTCTCAAAAAATAAAGCAAAGGTAGATTATCCTTCTGAGGGATAAATGAAAGGAGGGCTGAATCTATACGATGTAAGCAGCACAAATGTCTTCAGTGAGGGTCTCATGCACATACGCGCACACGCGCACGTACACACAAGTGTATATAAACACAAATGCTCGCACACACACATTTTTTTCTGGAAACCAGCTTAGAAATGCAAACGCATGCAAGCTGGAGTGCTGCTGGGGGGGGGGCATTGTCTTCAGCGCACTGCGCTTTTTGAAGTGTTTGTTTACTCACAATTACCAGCTGTGATGTGATTACGACGCTTTACTCAGTAATGAGCTTCTCGGGGGGGGCACACAGGACTTCTAAGGTCAGGAATGCAGGTGTATTAACTGAAGGCCTTGGTGCCGAGTCCCGGGGGGGGAGGGGGGGGTGATTGGGGGGGCACCAGCTGTTGTACCCATGAGCCAGAAATGCCCCAGCAAAATACCCAGGAAGCAAAGAAAGCCCAGAAAAACAATAAGACCCCATGGCGACCCGACCCGTAGCAGTATTCCGGGGGCGGCTAGGCGTGTTCTAGGGGGATGGGGGTGGATTGGAGGTGCCGCGGCACGTGGAGGAATCTCGTTTACGGAAAGAGCTGAGTCGGCGTGCAATCTGGCGAGTGGCGGACCGCGGTACGCGAAGCCCAACCGTGCTGTGTGAGCCGTCAGCCACCATCTATGCAAATGAGTGACATCGCTTAACAGCCACTTCAGATGGCATCTTCTGACCAATGATGTCATTTGGAATCGCGCTGTGCATGTGTGGTTCTGCAGGGTATTGTGCTCTGTATGTGCCGTTCTGCGTGGTACTGTGCTGCACATGGGCTGTTCTCCGCGGTACCCTGCAGTATATATGCAACTCTTTGTGGTACCATTCTGCATATCTGTGGTTCTGCGTAGTATTATTCTTCATATGTGTGCTTCTGTGTAGAACCGTTCTATGTGTGGTTCCGTTAATACACAATTCTGTATATGCATGGTTCTGTGCATGAATCATGTCTGTCTTCTGAATAAGAAGGGTCACATTTGTAATACAAGTTCATCTACATTATTTTGAGTGTATGGTTCTGCTTAAAGTTAACAGAAATACAGGGGTATGGTTAAGGTTCAGGGAGATGGGTCAGGCTTTGTTTGCGTTCATTGCGGTGGGTCTTTCGTGTTGGGCATAACTCGTACTTTGTTAATGTAATATTCAGTCTAATCGCCACTCGTATTTCACTGGAGGTGAGTTTCAGCAGTTTCCGACCCATAAACCGTTTGACACAGAGCCTCTTCTAACAGAAGCAATAGAATCTGTGATCTGATTTATTCAGAGTTTACATATGCGATACGAAACATAAAACTCAGGGGAACGTCTTCTGACAGCCATCATTTTTAGTTACACAGCTCTCATTTTTAGTTGGACCGTTAGTAGGGCGAAGTGTTGGTCTTTCCATCCATCCATCCATCCAAGTATGTTTGCATGTGTGCTTTTTCGTATAAATGCAGCATCTTTACGCCTTTGTGTGTCTGCAGCCTCGTACAAGTTCCCCTCCTGGATGTCTGGATGTCCCGTGTGTGCGTGCTGCCCTTCCGTTGCCCCCTCCCCAGGACCCTGTCCCCCCAAGGCACCGTCATCGATGGACTGCCTGTTTGATTACACTCACCGCAGCTTAAAAGGCTCTAATAACACAGTAATTAATCCATTGACCAGACAGGGGCTGATGAACTACAACAAAGGCATTATCTCTACCTTTGCCCTCCTTGCCGGGGGGGTGGGGGGGGGAGTCAAACACTCATCCCTCTATCTCGTTCCTTTACTCATCATTCTTGCACCTTCCCCATCTCTCCCTCCCGCTTTGCCTCTTCCCCAACCATCTCCCTTTTCTGGTCCATCTCTCCATCCCTTTCTCCCTCTCTCCCATCCATCTCTCCATCCCTTTCTCCCTCTCTTCCTCCATTTCATCCCTACATCTCTTTGTCCCTTTTTCCCTCTCTCCCATCCATCTCACCGTCTCTCCATCCCCTTTTCCCTCTCTTCCTTCTTTCCATCTCACCATCGCTCCGTTCTATTCTCCCTCTCTCCCCGTTCATCTCACCATCCCTTTCTCCCTCTCTCCCCATTCATCTCGCCATCTTTCCGTCCTGTTCCCACTCCCTCTCTGCTCATCTCTCTATTCCTTTCTCCCCATTCATTCCTCCGTCTCTGTGTGACACGCTGATCAATTCCCCATCAAATCTTAATGCTGCAGTTTAACTCAAGTGTGGCATCTTAATTAGGGCGATAACTGTGTGCTGTCAGGGTCATTGACCGCACCTGCCACTGGCCAATGGCGGCCATTGACAGCCTGCCAATGAGGTGGCCGGGGGGGGTGGGAGGCAGGATGGGCCGGACAGAAATGGGACACCACACACCTTACTGTAACATCGGCTCAGGGAGTGAAGCTATCGGCAGAGGATAGCTAACGAGCTAATGTCATAACGATTGTTATTTAAATCACGGCGGTTCCTCATTTGCCCACAGTAGCAATAAAATACTGCACTCTAACCCCCTGTTCAGCAGCACGGCGGCCGGATCAGCTTCTGAGTCGCACAAAAAGATACGATTATGTTACGAGGAAATACATTAACAGCCTGGCTGGATGTCTGAAGAAGTGGAATCGCGGAAAAAGATGGATATTGGGGGCTGTAAATAATGAATGAAGCGACATGAGATTTGGCGGGGGGGGGGGGGTGAATGGAGTGATGAGTCTGCCTGCCTCTTAGAGAAAGCACACGCGTGTGCCGGCGCCCACGCTCACACGCACACGCGCAGGTCGGTCCGGGAAACCCGTCGCGGGAATCGATGGAGGATGCGGCCCTCAGCTCCGGCCCATTCGTCATGCGGTATTTATGAAGCTGTCGCCGGCTCCTTCTCTCCCCCACTGGAACACAGCTGGAAAGTCGGCATGTTTATCACCGCTCAGGTCGCGGGTGCCAGATGTTAGGGTAGGAGTCACCTGCACCCACAGCGTCAGCTCCGAGCCCACATGGGGGGGCAGGTCATCAACCCCCTTCCAGGGCTGGGTCTGTGTGTGTGTGTGTGTGTGTGTGTGTGTGTGTGTGTGCACATGCATGTGTACAATGAGGTAAATGCTATTAAAAACAACTATAACTAAAAGCAATGAAAAAAAGTGAGAAGCAATTTAATAAGCAAATTAAAAAGTAAGGGAAAATATTTAACGGAGGCACAATTTTAAAATAATTTAAAAATACAATTATAACCAAAGTACGTGGTATAAGAACACACTGAAAATACATGAATGACAGTGCAAAGACTACAGTGATATTAAACAATAAACCCATATAAAACAAATAAACTGAAACCAAAACCAAAAAAGTTTTACAATTGCAACAGCAATCAAAATGAATGAACTCAAAAACAAACATGTATGTAAAATCTAATGCCATCCACATCAGAATCACCCCCCCCCCCAAAAAAAACAAAATTCCTGTGGATTTATTAATGGTAGACCATTTTTCGGAATACATACCTTCCTATAACTCACTTCTGTGTTGAACTAAGTTGGGAAGTCTATTTTTTTATTATACACCTATTATAGACCTTTACCTAATATATACATAGAAATTATACTGTGAGTAGAAGGTCTACAATGCAACCACACAGAATAGGTGGTCATAGCTGCTTCCAAACAGAAAGTAATTATTCCAGATGCACTTTCACCTCGGCAGGGTGTGAGAAAATGTATGGATCATTGATTTAAATCTTCTGATAGACGATCGTGGGCTGTCGGGACGGAACCCACAACCCTGAGAGTTTTAAACTTAATTTATTATGGAGACAAACATTATCTTGCTTATTTTGCGTATTTTCTTGATGATCACAATAGTAATTTAGCACGGTGAATTTAATCCCAATTAATGAAACAATAATTCAAAACTTTAAAACTGTTATTATAACCTTGGCAGGTATGTCGCGTTATTTGTACTTATGAGGACGCGTTGTTCTGAGAGGAAACAGCAATCCGCAGCGCTGTACTGGTTTGCTCGGGATTGCTTACACTCGCCAGGGAAGCACTTTGCGTAAAGGACAGAAGCGCACAGCATCCCTGCGTGGATGCGAGTCCGATTAACGCGCAAACATCCCCCTCTAGTGGACAATTCAGGGAATTGCATTCATCCGCCATGTAAAGATTGTCTGCTCAAAAATTCAAATAACTCGAAGGATTCTAATGAATAGCAGTGACTCACCCAAACAGGACGACACAAGACAAAAAGCCGTTTTGCTATACACTCCATCTCAGTTGTCAAGCTAATAACCAACAGATTAAACTTAACTGATAGCTTTTTATGACAGGAGGGCCATTAATTGTGACTCTCAGCTTTGAATCACGGTGGTGGGTGTTATTGGCAAAAATTTGGATCTCTTTAAAGTGTCATACATGTCATACCTGGACAAGGCTGAAATGCCCGGATGCACTTTGCTATAGTGCCCAACTTGAAAAGGTTCAGTAATATCTACAGGGGGTTAAACGAATACGATTAAAATATGCAGAATACAAACGGGAGGTATTACGGTAACCATTGCGGATCGGCACACTTCACACTCCGGCCGCTTACAGGACCCTGTCTCCGTAAAACGGTGCAAATCGCAAAGGTCCACTACAACACAGACATTGGCCAATCGCACCCGGGCCAAACGCTTGAAGGCTCAGCTTGCCAAAGCAAGCAGCTGAGTTACACAAATAAGTAAACACGAGGCATGTGGCACATTAAAGAATGCCTTTAATGATCTTTTAAACCTTTCAATGCACGTATCAACCACAAGCAACACAAATGCATACATTAGTTATCATTAAATTAAATCTAGAAACGTATTTAAAGTGTTCGCTTTTAAACAGACCACTGAAGTTTCGTTTTTTTTTTAGCCATGCATGTTTTTGGTCTGTCTGTTCTTCGCTGCCGTTCTCCACAAACGCATTACGATCGCTGGTCATGAGGATCCGGTCTGACCATATTCCACCATTTACAACAGAACTTATAGTGAAATGCGGCACGCAATGCGATCCAGCGACTTTAAGACGCATTATTTCTCATCTGACAGATCAACCCCAGTTAAAACAAAGCTGGCTATAAATGATTATTTTTATTTCTTCCGTGGAACCTTGTCACCCAGTGGGACCTCCTGGATTAGTTTCTATCGAAGAACAAACACAAAGACTCAGACGCGCATGTAAACCGTAACACTGTATGAAGGTGTCTCATTACTGAGTGGTGTCACTGCGGGGCGTGTTAAAATACCTTCAGCAGCCGAGAATAGTACGCTCTGTCCTCCTCGAGCTCCCCCCGCCAGTCGTCCACTTGGTACCTCCGACAGGCCAGGAGCAGCTCGTTAACGTCATAAAGCAGGGCGGGGTCAATGCAGTGCCCGTTGATGAGACTGACCAGGTACTCCCTGTAGTGCTTCCTGGGCAGATGTAAACAGAAGCCAAAATTAAACCAGGGTTGAATAAGGACCCAGAGAATCGCCGTCCTGGAGAAGTGGTTAGAAGATGAATGGAAGAACGATATGCCATATTTCATAATGTTGGATGAAATACGGCAACTACGAAACACTGGCAATATTAAACAGCCTTGTATCCTGGCACCTGGAAGCCAAACGTGTCTGTGCAGAAGTAACTCCGGCAGCAGTTAAAGGTACAGTTGTTGCACCTGAGATATCTGCTTTTAGTTCTGCTGCTGTACCCTTGACCACAAAGACATCCAGCTTGTATGAAGTGTAAAACCAAGTGTAAAAAAAACAAACAATAAGCACAACCGTTTGTTTTAAGTGTGTTTGTTAGCTTGAGTGTCTGTTGCTAGGGCTGCGTGGGGTGGGGGAGGAGGGAGGGGGTCACGCACTCGCAGAGCCCCGCCTGACCCGGCTGTGTCTGGGCCCCACACGCTGCGTCCGTCTGGTGGCCTCCATCATCTTTCTGCTCCATCACACTGCACAGCCCTGGGGAGAGCAACGGTTATGTAATACACACACACATCCATCCATCCATCCATCCATCCA